CACTTTCATAATATCATCTCACTTATTCAAATAAAAAAACAGGGATAACAATACTTTGTATAAGTGGAAACTCAGTTATTACTTTGTAAATAGGTTTGTAATAATTTGTAGCAGTTTTTCACAAACAAGGTCACAGCTCCGGGGAAGACTACGGCCAGATAATGTATATTGCTATTAAGTAAATTATTTCCTTATTGACGTTCTAAGCTGAAATCAATAGCAATTGACGTAAAACCTAACTATTTGTACATTTCTCAATTTTAAGGTCATTAGATAATGTTGACGTCAGAAACGCATAAATACGCTTTACACTACAAAATTTAAGATTTCTAAATCTAAATATCATCGCCTGATTTGTCATTTCGAGGTTTTATGCGACAATAGAATTAATTTAAGCTGTCAAAAAGAATTACAAATACGTTAATATCTGTTCAGTGGCAATCATTAAGCGGCCATTAGACACGGCATGAGCTCGGCCGACACAGCTGTAAACACCATTGTTTGATCACGTGGCCGAGCGCGAAATCGCTCGATAAAAGTTTAGAACAACCAACCTTTGTTCTACGTAAAACGTCACCAACAATCGTGAATATAAAAAGCATGTTCGTTTTTTCAATAAAAAGCATGAAGTGATAATAAAGAACAAAACGTTTGCAACAATGGGGCTACCCGAATGTATCCTTTTTTTTCTACAAATAAACGCGCAAAAGGAGCTCATGCATGTTGAACTAGTCATAGAACAGATAAATTAACTAATGAAACCAAACAAATCAACCATACAATATTAATATTATCCAATTTTAATACTTTCAGCTCTCACGGAAACGGCTCTTACAATTTGGATGAAATTCTGTGTTTAGAATACTAAATATCTTTCGAAAAACAAACAGAGCCTTCTCTTGCCACTGTATAAACACTTCTGCTTTATCAAGCATTCTAATTGTTATGTATTTATTTCTATTTTAAAGTATTACATATACTATTTCTTTATCTTAGATAAAAATGTGGAATTCATAATAAACGTACGTTACTTCGCAGCAAACACGCCTACCTATTTGACGTAGACACGAAAGTGATACTTCCTGTTTGTATAATTTTACAGACACTGATATATGTATGTATTGTGAACACTAAATCTTCCTTATTCTAAAGAAAGGTATCTATCTATACTATTATAATAAATCGTAAACACACACTACTATGTGGCGTTGGATGTCGGCATTCACAGTATATTTTTGAATATTTCTTTCTTTAATATAAAACCCTACACTTACGACACGCTTTAGGGTATACATTTTTATGCTATTAAACTTAGGGGTATAAAATCTCCATGTGGGAAAGAGACTATAAACTACAAGCCGCCAACATTAAGGAAGCAAGGTTATTATGGTAACAGTAATTGTTGTTCAATGTCAAAGGCCTTTGTTGTCATTTGTGCATTTGAATTTTCACTTTTGCAATTGAGATAATTTAAAGACGATGAAGCCTCACGGGAACAGCTAGTATGGATATAAAAATCTATCAAATTCTTGTCGGTATGTTTCCAATAATTACATCCACGTAACATGGGCTAAAGGACCTTAAAAGGGTTAATGATTTACATAAAGCTATAATGTTAATATCCTTTCGATAATAATAAGCGATCGTTAAAAGGTCCGCAAGCAAGTAATAAGTTGGTTCGTATACAATGCATCGAATCCTGTTCTCGGTTGCAGTAACGGGCCCGAGCGATGGTGTAAATAAATAAAGCGACCCCGAGGACGTCGACCCGGACTGATCAAATTGTATTCAGCTTGCATTAGAGTACCTACGCTTTTATAATACGTTGCCCCTGAGTTCACTGATCATTTTGAGATTATTTACAAGACAAATAATAATTAAAACAAGTATATTACATATTATTTTTTACATAATATCACTGAACTATATAATCACTACGACAACTGGGTTCAATGTCATTTTTAGGTAGTTTATTTGTAATCTTTGATTATTTAGATGTAAGTTTGGATATCATCACTTTAAATTACTGCTTCAATATACTTGGAGAAAATTACGTTGTTTCTGGAAGCGTTACTTTCAGAAAATCCACATAAACAGAAGGTGCGAAAATACATGTTCACAGAAATGTTAAATCGCACAATTCTAAGAAAAACACATCTTTTGGCTGTTTTTTTTTTTAAATATATAATGACATGTTAGCAATTTTTTTCACAGTAAAAAATTTACAAAACCAGTCAACGGTACTTTACCGAGTCGAGTTAAAATCGATCTGTATTTGTTCCTTTTAACAAATCAAAAACCAATCGTATCAACATTTAAGTTATCTATAGACCATTCAGCCATCTTTTCCAGTAGCTGTGTTCGCAGAACTGAGACTGACCAATTAACCTCGTTAACTTTTACTATACATTAGATTTGAATCAGTGACATTACTTTGTATTTCACTCAAGATCCAAGGACGAAACGTATTTATAAATGGCCATGTTTTAATTTAGCTCTATTCCTTACATTATCATACTATTTAAAATACTACAGTTTTTGTGTGAAAATATTTTATTATATCTAAATTAACATTTGAATGTCTGGTTATTAAATATTTTTTTTTACAAATACACTAGTTATTAAATTTAGTCTAAATCGACTCTTATGAAAAAATTGAATTTTGTTAGTTACTGCTATATGTATGGAAGCCATCATGCAAATGTTATAGTGCAAGGGACAACGTCCTTCGCGTCACACCTGGGAGGTGCAATAGTACTCTCGCCACCGGCTGGAACGGTAGCTATTTTTACACCGTCCACTTCTATCTTATTTACTATTCTTGTCTGCGACTCATTGAATTGTGGTTATTATGTGCAAGTTGGACATGCGCCAGCCAACCGGGCTACGGCGCACTGATACCGAGATATTCCAAGAATTAAATTACGATATTGAAGCGTTTACAAGAAAATCCCTCAAGATTTAAATCGACAATCAATAATCCCGAAAAAAAAAATCCTTATCAGGTATTTTTTAAAACAAGGTTTTTAGAAGTATGTACGAACCAAATACAATAAACATATTTATGTATCAACGTTCGAGAAAACAAAAATCAAACTGTAATTCACACTTGTTACCTACTGGTAACAAGTCTAGTTCGAAAATATCACATGTGAGCATTCGGTTGCTACTGACATTTATAATAACATTCAAATACAAGTTACCACATAAAGTTTAAAATATAATTAAAGTCACTTATGTTCGAAACCGGCGAGTGGTCAGGGGACAGGAGGGCAAGGGAGGGGACAGTGCGAGAAGACATCACGTCAAACCGGCACGGATCGGAGTCGCGAGGTGGCTGTAAGCAAACCGGTCGAAGGCGCCGCCCGTCGGCCGAGGAGATTGCCGCGGATTATCGCCTTGTAAACAAAATTACATTCACTTGCCTTCATAAAACATGCATGGAAAATTATATGCAAAGGTTATTAGACGCTCTCATTGTTCTTCCATTTACTTATATCAACTTTAAGAAAAAAAAGCTTAAAATGAAACAGGAAAAGTAGATAGAAGCTACATTGGTATTGGGTTTAATAGGATAAGAATGGTAAGGGGCGCTTGCTTATGTAACCTAACTATTTGAAATAGGGAAAAAAAGTGTATAGTGAAACGTCGAGCGAAACGAAATCGGCTAAGTAGGTCATCAAATAATTTCGCAAGCGATCGAGTGCCGCGAAGTGGTACGTTCGAGCAAGTCAAGGCCCGCCCGAGAGCCTGCACCGCCTCGAGCCACGTACTTCAATGTTTTACAATACTAAACAACGACACTGACAGGAAGCTCACAGAGTACTAAACATTATCATTGCAAAGCACACTTCAACGTCTTTACCAAAACATAACAAGTATACCTTGACATCCCTGAATTTAGCTACAGTTTTCACTTATAGAAAAACGAACAAGAATTACATTGAGTTAATACCTTTCTATTTAGATTACATTTCTGCACCTTCTACTTTTTTGTCCTTAAGTTTTAGCCACATAAACACACAACACAACAATAAAATTATCAGGATTTCACCAATGCTTATCGACTTTAGATATGCGTAATGTCCAATTGCAAAAATTGCAACATATAATTTCCAAGGGTCACCTGTAAGTCAACGATCATAGTGACGTGCAATTTCTAAATGAAATAGATCTTTTTAAAGTGGGGCCGAATCCCTATTTTCTTTGTTTACCTTGTGTTGCATTGCATCATTAAATTGAACACTCTCTTGAATACCAAAGAGCCTATCATCGTTAGACACAAATACACATGTACGAAATTTTAAACGTCACTCGCTTAAGTAATTAAATTTCTCAATACTGTTACGTTAACTTCTTTGAAGTGATAAAGTAACTGATTTGCGTAATCGAAACCTTTAACACGTATTTATATTACACAAAATGAAATAATTTACGATTCTTTCCTCTCTTCCGCATAATATTTAAGGACGTCAGTCGGTTGCAAATCACTCGGATAATTTCCTTTGGGTATTGTTACAATTAGTTGTTTTTAAAACAAAGTTAATTAGAGTACAAGAACTTGCGACAGTTTTGTTTTAATAGTTGCAAAACTTTTTAAAAACTTATAACGTATTCGTCTATATCTTTTCGTAAATAATCTTTTTTTGAATTCACTCTGTAACAGTTTTTCTGCTAAAACTCAACGATTTGCTTGCATTCCTATTTTGATATCAAGTTTATATTTATATCGAAAAATGTATCGCGAATCTTTATGTGTATGTTAAAAACGTCAATGAAAACTAAATTGGTCTTTATCTATAATGTTATATTATTAATGAAAAGCACAAAATTAATTAACGCGAATATGCAAATAAAAACATATAATTCCGAATATAGAAAGAAATTAGTTTGGAATATTTTGTACGTATCGATAAATAGTTGACACAAATGTATAAGAATTCTTTGTTATTACAATGACATAATAAAATGTTTTAGCACCAAAACGATATAAAACTCACCCCTTCATTTCCGGGTAGGAACTGTATTTTAGGTTTTGCTAATTTGTCCTGGAAAGAAAAAAAATTATTAGTTATATCATATCAACAGTGTAGTGCATATTTATATTAAATAAGTGTTACAGTAATATTTAAAAAATATGAGTAAAATATAAATACGTATTAATGAATCCCCTAAAAGTATTTCTCCATACAAACTTAAATTGAAAAATCAGACATTTTTATAACTATTACACATACTAAAATTCAACGAGAATAATAAAACATATTTCAAAAACTATGAACATGAGTACTTCGTACATATTGATAAGTATAATTAAGCAGCGATAAAAAAAGAAAAACATTGTAATGATGACGAATTTATTTCTCAAACGTTTGGTTGTTCGGTTGTAATATGAATCATAACAATAGTCTCCATTTTCCTTGCGCAACCTCGCGTGAATGAATGAAGGTAAGGGGGATTTACCAATGTCGAGGCAAATGCACTAAAGTTTTTAAACACTAGCTATCCTCCCAGCTTCGCCTCGGTAGCAAAGAGGTGTCATATATTTTCTGTCTCTTAAATTATAATAAAATATCACACAGTGACAATGTAGCTTTATTATGACGCAATAATTTTCGAATACGGTCCAGTAGTTTCCGAACAATGTCAACAAACAACCAAATATTTCCTCTATTGATATTGATTCATAGAAACTTTACCATTATACCAAAAAAAAATCTAATAATTGCTAGTACAAAATAATATCGTTAGTAGTGTTTATACGTGTAAATAGGCCTAATTTTTGTCAAAAAACAAAGTTGGAATGATTTTGTGTTCATACGCGTATTCATCTTAAGAACTACGGGTATAATTTGATGAAATGTTTCGCACAGCTTAATAAAGAGGGTTATAGACTTAAGCCAGTAAGTTTTAGGAGCTTACAAAAACTTAAAACGGACCACAAGTCGTAATGCATAATGGACTAGTCCTTAAACAAGTCGACTGGTCGATAGACTTGTCGGATCGGAGTCGCAAGTTGCGGCAAGTAGCATTGCACAACCAGCTATAGTCGGACGCGAGAAACATAACTAGGCTGGGCGTCGACGATGATGTAAACTTAAAAATTGCTTTACTTACCTTACTTAACCAGACTGTATAGTGTGAAATTTTTAAAACGCATAATAGAGGGAACCCGGAACTAGCGGCCATTCTTAGCTCGGAGCTACAAGTGCTCGATGCCCTCATTGTAAATACATTCGAAATCAGATAAAGTATGCGATTTTTTTTAAATAGCAGTTAAAATTACCTTACTCTACCCTTAATCCATAAAACCCTAATGAGTTTCAGAACTATTTAGGAACTACATATGAAACCCGTAACGTTTGCTTATTATGTCAGGAATTCCCTGCGCTTTAAAATCAAATGTTTACTGTTAGGTAAATTACCTACTAAGTGGTCGATTGGTGTGAACCGAGGGCGCCCCCTATCGCACGTTGCATCACCTTTGAACTTAGATTATTTGCTCACTTAACTTTTAATGGATAAGTATTTAATTATTAACTACAATTTGTATCAAAACCTGTCCTAAAATCATAATGTCATTTAGATACGAAGCAAATGCCAAACCTGTTTATAAAGCAAGGTCAAATTGCAAGGATACAATTCAATGTTCTTTAAAAAATTAAAAACCTCTGAAATCAAATTTAAAAAAATGAAGCTACATATTTTTAAATTTGAGTTTGAATTAATGAATATCAAAGATGGCGCTTGTGTAAATATCACAACTTAGTTGAAATTATTTTCGAAATAAAATGATACAATAACCATTTTTCAAAGCACCGTTCAGGAAAGAGGAACTAAAACAGTACAGGAAGCATGCTTGCAGCGTTCTGATCTCCTAGTAACAAGCGGCGACAACACGGCCATCACATGGTATTAAATACTATTGAAAAAAACCATATTGTTTACAAATATACCCTTTTCCATATCAATTTAAGCTTCTTGGGAATCAAATACGGACGTGCGTATGTAAACATAACAGGCAAACTTCCGTATTGTATTAAAAGGTAAAATTTTTTTGCAGAACTCCTAATATTATATTAAAATCCTCGTATCTGGCTCCATTAATATCGCGGATCAAAATTTTGTTTGTACGAGGACATTTTCAAAGATAACCGCGAGTTTCCAATACCGAAACAAATGTACCAAACATATCATCATCTCTCTCCGTCTCTAAAAATCGAGACAACGAGACTGTTGTATGAATGTTTTGGATGAATAAACCCACCATAAGCACGGGCGCTTTTTTAACGCTCCTACAAACGTTTACAAATTACTTTTGTTACGTTCAGCCAGCGCTGAATATGCAATCATGCAAAATGCATCGCGCTTTAAAAGTGGTGGCATATAATCAGATACATGGAAATACATTTGTTCTGTTAAAACGTTGTTTAAACGCGCGTTAAAGAAGCGCCGGTGCAAATGAGGCTAAAGAGCAATGTTTACAACGAGAAGGAAAAACAGCATAACGTATTGCATACCGATAACAATTAAAATACTACATTATTACGTAAGACCTATCTCTACTTTACACCAGTTTTCTAATATGTAGCATTTTTTATGAAACACGCAAATTATATTGATTCAGACCACATAGAACACTGCTGCTTATCTTACCTCACTAATATTATAAATACAAAAGTTTAGATGGAAGGATGTTTGTTAAATTTAGTAGCATAAACTGCTGAATGGATCTCAATGAAGTTTGGCATAGATGTATAGAATATTCCAGAAGAACACATGACTACTTTGTTTTTTTAATCCCACGAGGACGTAGTGGTGGGCGAAAGCTAGTCAATAATAAAACAGTGGTACGAACTAAGTTTATACGTAGAAATGCTACGTGGTACTTCAGTAACTAAATATAAAGTTCAGTAACTAAACTAAATAGAAAGAGCCAAGGAAATTGCCATTTTTTAGAAGCGAGGTATGTCAATAAGTAAATACATATTACAAAGTCACGAAAAGTTAGTTTATTTGATTATGATAATTCTCTATGTAATATGTGCCAAACAATATGACTTTTAAAGTATGTTATTGGGTTAGCTTGGACAATGTATTTTTTCCGTAACTCTACAATTGGTTTTATTTCCTTTTAGTGCATATTTTGTATGAGGTTTCCGAGCCAGAGTTATTAAAATATAATTGTAAAGATCTTATAAACCGCTTTGATTCTCTAGTCCCTCTTCTTATGCTAGTCTTACGGCCAAATATTGAAACGTCATTTCAACAGCGTCCTAAATGATAAGGCCACACTTAAACTTCTAATTTTTTAGAACAGGTACACACCTTTGACTAATCTATAGCAACACTGTTGTGCGATTGTCGATTGTTTCGCAGCCCATTCAACTATTTAGTGGCACAACTAAAATCGAGTATTGTACGCTTCTCCATATAAGCTCATAGAAATCAAAGCGCGACTAAACCGATGTGCTATAGTTTCAGGTGTGCGTCCTTTTACCAATTTTGATGACTATCAGATTATAATCGGCGTTATAGAGCGATGTATTTGAGATTCGATTTAGTATTTGACCGCTAGTCTACTAAGTATAGTAATGGCACATATACTTGTGAACTTAAACAAATTCTTATATTGTACTTTGACGACACAAAGTTTATAATTCAATAAACCGAAAATCAAAGATAAATGTGACGAAAACTCCTATTTAACGGGCTGCTTATCGTATACGGAAATTCTTACTAACTGAACATTGTGATAAAACAAATTTGCATACCTAATATTGGATATATTTTTGTTTATCTTAATTATTATTTTATATTATAATAGAAATATTGGAATCTCATTTACACAGATGTTAAAAACACAAAAATACTTAAAAAAATTACTACGTTCAATTGCAATGACTTTCTAAATTAAAATTATGCAATAAATTAATTGTAACTTAAAAGGTAACATTGTATTTAATTTACGGTACAATGTACTTTTGAAGTTTTCTTATGAGCACAATTTAAAATATCTATCATAACGTAGTAAATTAGATAATACGTCAATAAATTTAATTTCTTAGATTACTTTAAGAATTAGTGGAATTACGTTTGATTTAGTGGAAAATCATCACAACTACCTCGGGCAGATTAGTTCTTAACCTTTTATGATTACATCAATATATTTGACAAAAAATTGGATATAACCAAAATTAATACTATGAAATAACATATTATTAAATTCTCGACTAATTTGTCAATTAAAGAAGCAAGCAAGCACACATAAAATTAAAGAAACGATAATGTTTCGAAGGAGCGACGTGCATCTGTTTGAAAGGGACCGGGGACAAGCCAGGTGTTGAATTGGGGGCCGAGGGTGCGACGACCTCGAACCCTATCTTCGACGCACTAATATCGGTCGTCTACGGACGCGTATTGTACGCTTATGTCAAGATAAAACTAGATACAAAGAGATTTCCTTATAGCATAAATCGCCACAAATACTATAAACACCTGCATTAGGATACTATCATATTGTAAGAGCGTGAGCACACCTGAAACTATAGCACAACTGTTTAGTCTCGCTTTGATTCCTATGACCTTATATGGTGCGCACACCACTCGATTTTAGTTGTGCGACTAAACAGTTGAATAGGCTGTGAAATAATCGACAATCGCATAACAATTGTACGTTAAATGCGAAAGTTTGAATGTTTGTTGCTACGTATCGTATAAGTTAATTTAGTAAAAATTCGTCGTCTAGTTCGAAGGTTTAATGAAAATCTACAGATTAAGTACGACTAGAAGAAATTCTGAAATATCTAGTTAAAATAAAAATGTCATATCCTTGAAATTTTATGGAAAAAGATGTTTACAGAATAAATGGAACGAAAGCATAAATCTTAAAATAAACCATTGTTAGAATTTTGACCGACAAAGATTCAATTTCATTGTGCACGCATTAAACAATCCTAACATACGAGCCTACCTGACATTTTATCTTTACAAAAAATAACCAGGTGCCAAGTTGGACCCGACATGACTACTTGTAAGAAATACGAGG